CAACCTGGTGAGTCATCCAGCTGACCTGCAACAACCTGACTTCAATCACATGACTCACCCATCTACCATGAGTCATACACAATAATTTTGCCCATACACTACACTATTCTAGTAGCACACTAGAGGGTGCTACATGGCCATGGCAGCCTTGGAGGACATGCTGCCCATCATTCAGCCTAAGAGGACCAGCAGCAAGATATAGGATCAGAGTTTTTTTTTTTTTTGGGGGGGGGGGGGGGGTGTCAATGCCATAGAGGAGGTGAATATTGCAGAAAAATCTGTCACAATGCCAGTTACCATCGTAGTAATCAGCCTCCACAACTATCTATGCACACAGATTTAATGTGTCTATCAGACTTTACCTTCCTTGATTGTTTCCCAACAATACTGTATGTAATAGTTTTGTTCCTTTACTGCAATCAATCACCTCCAGACAGGGGCAGACTGGCAACTCATGGGGCCCCCGGGCAATAAGAAAACATGGGGCCCCTGTGTCCTAGCCCACACTCAAACCACACCCAAAAAAGCCTATGAAAGGTACCAGGGGCATCTCATGGGGCCCCTACTGACCCCAGGCCCGGATATCCAAAATGGTCAGTCCACCCCTGCCTCCAGAGATATAGCCTTACTGTCTGTTACACGCAGGGGCGGACTGACAACTCATGGGGCCCCTGGGCAATAGGGGATCATGGGGCCCCTGTGTCTTTGCCCAAACTCAAAGAAATCCTATGAAAAAGGTACCAGGGGCATCTCATGGAGTCCCTACTGTCCCCCAGGCCCTCGGGGCAGTGCCCCCGAGTTTCCAAATGGTCAGTCCGCCATGGTGATCCCCCCTTATGTATTATACATGGAGATAATTCCCCCCTTATGTATTATACATGGTGATCATATATCCCCCCCCTTATGTATTATACATAGAGATCATATCCCCCCCTTATGTATGTTTATACATGGAGATCATATCCCCCCTTATGTATTATACATGGAGATCATATCCCCCCTTATGTATTATACATGGAGATCATATCCCCCCTTATGTATTATACATGGAGATCATATCCCCCCTTATGTATTATACATTGGTGATCATATCCCCCCCTTATGTATTATACATGGAGATCATATCCCCCCCTTACAAAAAAAATTATGTTTTATACATGGTGATCATATCATAAACCCCCCCTCCCCCCTTATGTATTATACATGGAGATCATGATCCCCCTTATGTATTATACATGGAGATCATATCCCCCCTTATGTATTATACATGGAGATCATATTCCCCCTTATGTATTATACATGGAGATCATATCCCCCCTTATGTATTATACATGGAGATCATATCCCCCCTTATGTATTATACATGGAGATCATATCCCCCCTTATGTATTATACATGGAGATCATATCCCCCCTTATGTATTATACATGGAGTTCATATCCCCCCTTATGTATTATACATGGAGATCATATCCCCCCTTATGTATTATACATGGAGATCATATCACCCCCATAGGGGGGAGGATCCCCCCCCCTTATGTATTATACATGGAGATCATATCCCCCTTATGTATTATACATGGAGATCATACCCCCTTATGTATTATACATGGAGATCATATCCCCCCTTATGTATTATACATGGAGATCATATACCCCCCCTTATGATCATATCCCCCCTTATGTATTATACATGGAGATCATACCCCCCTTATGTATTATACATGGAGATTCATACCCACCCCCCCCCCCCTTATGTATTATACATGGAGATCATATCCCCCTTATGTATTATACATGGAGATCATACCCCCCCCATGTAGATCCCCCCCCTTATGTATTATACATGGAGATCATATCCCCCCTTATGTATTATACATGGAGATCATATCCCCCCTTATGTATTTATATCATATCCCCCCTTATGTATTATACAAGAGATCATATCCCCCTTTATGTATTATACATGGAGGTCATATCCCCCTTATGTATTATACATGGATATCATATCCCCCCCTTATGTATTATACATGGAGATCATATCCCCCCCCCCCTTATGTATTATACATGAAGATCATATCCCCCTTTATGTATTATACTTGTTGATCATATCCCCCCTTATGTATTATACATGGAGATCATATCCCCCCTTATGTATTATACATGGGAGATCATATCCCCCTTATGTATTATACATGGAGATCATATCCCCCTTATGTATTATACATGGAGATCATACCCCCCCTTATGTATTATACATGGAGATCATATCCCCCTTAATCTCCTCTTCTCGGGAGAGAATAAATTCAGTTCCTCTAATCTTTCCTCATAGCTGATCTCCTCCATGCCTCATCAGTTTTTGCCTTTCTCTGTACTTTCTCCAGTTCCCCAATGTTCTTTTCCAAATGGTCAGTCCGCCCCGGTTACACGATTAAAACCATCCTAAATCCATAACATTTTCAGTTCTGTTACATTCACCGCTCTCTCCTCAGCTGTTCCTCCACCAACACTCCCAGCCCTATCTGTTGTTTGCATCGCCAATCAATCCTATTACTGCCGGATTGTGAGTTTGGTAACCTTCATTTCTAAACCATGTGTGTAATATCTTTTGCAAGACAAACAATCCTAAATCCATAATGCTTTTAGTTCTGATAGCTCCGCCAGTCTTTCCTTGTCTATTCCTCCTCCAGGACTCCCGGAATTATCTGTTGATTGGACAGCCAATTGGTCCTGATACTGTCAAGTTGTAAGTTTGGTAAATGTCACTTCCAAACCAGGCATATAATGATCATTGAAAGACAAAGTCCAGGATCAAGTGTTCAGTTCTAATAGTCAAAGGGAGGGCAGTGGAGCCTTCAGAACTGAAAGCATGATGGACTCAACCGTCATGATGGGCCTGGCGTAAAAGTGACAGTTATTGATCTCACAACTTGGCACAGTATTAACAACTGATTGGTGGTCTAAACAACAGATAGGGTCGGTAGTGCAGGAGGAGGAATAGCCATGTGACTGGCTGACTAGCAATTTGTGTTACCAACCAATTGACCAGGTGTACCTAATAAAGTGGCCGGTGAGTGTATATATATGGTTTAGAAGCGAAGGTTACTGAATTCACAAACTGGCAGTATTAGGACTGATTGGTGGTCCAAACAACTTGTCGGGTGGGGGTGATCCTTTTCCTTCCATCCATAGCTTGTAGCGGCGCCATAGGGTATACCTTTCAACGACTCACATAAGCCATTTAGTGATGAAAACCGAACCCACAACCTGGAAATAATGGGACAGTCTGGCGGTCAAAGCCAGAGACGGTGCCAGGAGTGTGGGAGGAGGAAAAGCCAAGGAGAAAGCGTTGGAGATATCAGAATGAAGGTATTATGAACTCAGGATTGTTTGTCCTTCAACAGTCATTATGTACATAGTTTAGAAGTGACAGTTACCAACTTACAACCTGGCAATACTAGAACTGATTGGCGGAAAAAGGGGAGCGTGAGTCAGAGCAATTCCAGTGTCAGCCAATACAAGTGAAGGAATGGACGCTACTCAACCAACCCTAGGAATCCAATGTCGAGGAATGGCCTCAGTCACCATTCTGGCCATGCCCCCTGATGCATTTTCACCCCACCCTCCGGGGCTTGGTCACAGAGGTCCTCTGTGACCAAGCCCCCGGTGAGCAGGGCGAAACGCATCAGTGGACATGGCCAAAATGGCGGTTGAGGCCATTCCTCAACATTGGACTCCAGGAGTTGGTTGAGCAGCGCCCATCCCTTCAATTACGTAACTCGTTCCCATCAGATATTTTGCTTCTTTGCATTGCAGAAAAGGCTGCATTTTTATTTTAAGACATGCTGTGCAAAAATAAAAAAATACATCAATACAAACAAAACAAAAAGCTCAAATTCTGCTTAAAAAAAGACCACCACATAAAAACCTACATATAAAAGCAATCAAATATCATAGCATTGGGTCACCAGTGTTTTTTTTTTTTTTATTATTAGTAACCGTATGGTCAAAGCTGTATAAAATTGTAATTCACCTGCAAAGGAGATGTAACGTGAAATAAGCCCCTTTTTTTTTTTACTGGGACATCAATGCTTCAAATCTGGTCAAGAAGATGAAGAAAATCCACCAACACCCAAAAAATTCTGCCTCTTAACAGATCAAATTGACCCCCAGTTAAGGATGGGTCAAAATGCGCAATGCAAATTCCAGACGCATGCTATGGACCTGGACACTTTATGACATCAAAAGGATCGAACTGGCCCCCAATGGTAGATGGGTAAACACCCGTTGGAAAATTCCAAAAACTAGCTGTAATCCAGACACTTGTAGAGCTCCAAACCTTTACTCCAAAAATTGAACAGAGAAGAAAAACCTGCAGAAAAGATTTACCCTCATAGAGGACAAACCCATTAAAAAAAAAAAAAAATTCTCATAATGTAGTAAATTAACCACTTCAAGTCCGGACACTTTCACCCCCTTCCTGTCCAGGCCAATTTTCAGCTTTCAGAGCTATCACACTTTGAATGACAATTGCGCGGTCGTGCAACACTGTACCCGTGTGAATTGTTTAGCATTTTTCTGAGACAGATAATACTTTATTTTGGTGATATTTATTCACCACTGGGATTTTTACTTTTTTTGCTATAAAAGAAAAAGTCCAAAAAATTTTTTAAAAAGTGTTTTTCTTATAAAATTTTGCAAAAAAATAATCTTTCTTCATAAATTTTGGCCAAAATGTATTCAGTTATCTTTCTGGTAAAAAAAAAAAAAATAACCCAAATTAATTTATAACCAAAAATTATAATTTTTAAAAACTTTTTTTTACATTTTTAGTTAATTTTTTTTTATATTATCATTTATTTATTCATTTATTTTATTTTATTATTTAGCAGTACAGTTGCACCATAGTGACACTGATTGCTTTTACTCCCATAAAGGCTGTAAAAGAAATAATTTCTCCTTCTCTCTGGCTGCATTCTTGCAGCCATTGAGAAATACTGTGAGAGCTGTGATTGGTCACAGCTTGTCACATGGTACAAGGCTGTTGTGAATAGCCCTGTACCATGTGATTTCTGTGATCGTTCACAGATTTCACACGTAGTAAGCAATGATGTCAGAAGTGACATCTTGCTTACTACTCTTCATGTGATCACTGATTAGCCCTCACACAAAGGTCACAGTGGGCACCAGATCGCGCACAGTCTAGGGAGCGCGCACAGTCCGAAATGGCGGGCGCCGTTTATGAACATCAACCCGCTCCTGCACTGCCCCCATCCAACCGTTTATATACATGGGCTGGACGGGAAGTAGTTAAGGGGGGATATGATCTCCATGTATAATACATAAGGGGGATATGATCTCCATGTATAATACATAAGGGGGATATGATCACCATGTATAATACATAAGGGGGATATGATCACCATGTATAATACATAAGGGGGATATGATCACCATGTATAATACATAAGGGGGGATATGATCTCCATGTATAATACATAAGGGGGGATATGATCTCCATGTATAATACATAAGGGGGGATATGATCTCCATGTATAATACATAAGGGGGGATATGATCTCCATGTATAATACATAAGGGGGGGATATGATCTCCATGTATAATACATAAGGGGGGATATGATCTCCATGTATAATACATAAGGGGGATATGATCTCCATGTATAATACATAAGGGGGGATATGATCTCCATGTATAATACATAAGGGGGGATATGATCTCCATGTATAATACATAAGGGGGGTATGATCTCCATGTATAATACATAAGGGGGGTATGACCTCCATGTATAATACATAAGGGGGGATATGATCTCCATGTATAATACATAAGGGGGGATATGATCTCCATGTATAATACATAAGGGGGGGATATGATCTCCATGTATAATACATAAGGGGGGATATGGTCACCATGTATAATACATAAAGGGGGATATGATCTCCATGTATAATATATAAGGGGGGATATGATCTCCATGTATAATACATAAGGGGGGATATGATCTCCATGTATAATACATAAGGGGGGATATGATCTCCATGTATAATACATAATGGGGGATATGATCTCCATGTATAATACATAAGGGGGGATATGATCTCCATGTATAATACATAAGGGTGATATGATCTCCATGTATAATACATAAGGGGGGGTATGATCACCATGTATAATACATAAGGAGGGGATATGATCTCCATGTATTATACATAAGGGGGGGGTATGATCACCATGTATAATACATAAGGGGGGATATGATCTCCATGTATAATACATAAGGGGGGATATGATCTCCATGTATAATACATAAGGGGGGATATGATCTCCATGTATAATACATAAGGGGGGATATGATCTCCATGTATATACATAAGGGATATGATCACCATGTATAATACATAAGGGGGGGATATGATCACCATGTATATACATAAGGGGGGGATATGATCTCCATGTATAATACATAAGGGGGATATGATCTCCATGTATAATACATAAGGGGGGATATGATCTCCATGTATAATACATAAGGGGGGATATGATCTCCATGTATAATACATAAGGGGGGATATGATCTCCATGTATAATACATAAGGGGGGGGGATATGATCTCCATGTATAATACATAAGGGAGATATGATCTCCATGTATAATACATAAGGGGGATATGATATGTATATCTACATAAGGGGGTGATCTCCATGTATAATACATAAGGGGGGATATGATCTCCATGTATAATACATAAGGGGGGATATGATCTCCATGTATAATACATAAAGGGGGATATGATCGCCATGTATAAATACATCAGTGGTTCATATAGTGAACTCAGTGTAGACTTATTCACCCTGAGGTCATCACAGAGACAAGGGGGCACTCTTTACGTTTGGAGGAAAAGAAATTGAATCTCCAAACACGGAAAGGTTTCTTCACAGTAAGAGCTGTGAAAATGTGGAATAGACTCCCTTAAGAGTTGGTTCTGGCCAGCTCAGTGGATTGCTTCAAAAAAGTCCTGGATTCTTTCCTAGATACACAGAATATAACTGGATATAACATTTATAGGTAAAGTTGATCCAGGGAATATCCGATTGCCTCTCGGGGGATCAGGAACGAATTTTTTCCCTGCAGGAGCAAATTGGATCATGATTTGCTGGGTTTATTTGCCTTCCTCTGGATCAACTGTGGGTATAGGATTATAACTTTTTTTTTTTATGATTGAACTGGATCGACTTTTGTCTTTTTTCATCCAGATTAACTATGTAACTATGTAAGAAGGGAGGTCATTTAGCCACAGCTTGAGGAACCCCTAGCCACCTCTGGAGGAAACCTAGGGTTCCCCGGAACCCTGGTTGAGAATGGTTAAAGAAGGATATGTTTTGTTCTTTTTTTCATGTCAAAGGTTTACAACCACTTTAAGAGCTCCTAACCCTTTGTAACTATGTTACTATGAAGCATTCATGACAACATTGATGTCCCAGTAAAAAAAAAGGGGCTTATTTCACATTACATCTCCTTCGCATGTGAATTGGACTTTCCATTTATTCCATGTATTTTCACTAACTTTTTGGTTATATGTAGCGCCGCACTTTTATGTTTTATTGTTTGGTGTATTGTTGCCTGCAATATTGAGGTGGCTACTTATGTTCTATTCAGGGGCGGACTGCCCGAAGTCCCGGGGTCAGTAGGAGGCCCCATGAGATGCCTCTGGAACCTTTCATAGGCTTTTTTGGGTGTGGTTTGAGTGTGGGTGAAGACACAGGGGCCCCATGATTTCCTATTGCCCGGGGGGCCCCATGAGTTGTCAGACCGCCCCTGGTTCTATTGAAACTTTTATGTTCAGGAGTCACACACACACTATAGCGCAGAATTTTTAAGTCATTTTCTGTATAAAATTATACCTAATATAGCGCCATCAAAGTTGCTACGTGCAGCCTTATCGGTTCATAATCAATCCCGCCTCGCGTTCTGCTTCCAATGTCCTTGTGCAAATGTTAACTCTGCAGTCTCAATCTTGATGTAATAAACATGCTCAAATTCCAAGCAGACTAGAAAGTTGCCTCAGAAAGTTTGTATAAATTATATTAAAGATAAGGGAAAGTAAAATAAAAAGAAAAAAAAGGTCGAGACTAGACATAAGAATCTCCGAAACCTCAAGCATTTTCCACCGATAATTCAACCGAAGACATCAGATCGGTACATAAGCACACTTCCACTGCTGGAAAGGTTTACTGAATGGGTAAACAAAGCCTTTCTGGTAGGAAGTAAACAACAAAGATATTTCTAACGCCAGTGAATTTCACGAGGAGGTATTATTAGTGAAATACAAAGTAGTACAAGAGGCTATTATCTGTGAAGTAGCCTTGAGAGGAAAATGGCCTTGGACTTTACTTTAGTTGATTTCGCTACTCTAGTTAAAGTGGCTTTTTTTTATTTAGAAGAATACACGCAACCGACAAAAGAAGAGTGGTTATACCCTTCTGGTATGGTTCCAATATGTTCCAGGGCAGGGGCGGAGTGACCATTCTGGCACTCAGGCACTGCCCGAGGGCCCAGGATCAGTAGGGGGCCTCATGAGATGCCCCTAGAACCTTTCATAGGCTTTTTTGGGTGTGGTTTGAGTGTAGGCGAGGACACAGGGGCCCCATGATCCCCTATTGCCCAGGGGCCCCATGAGTTCCAGGGTAACAAAAGTGACATACAGTAGGTAGTTGGTTGGAGATACCACAGTGCACAATAGGAGGAAAGGGGGTGGTGGAGGCATCTGACCCAACTGGAAGGTTCTGCCAAAAGAATGGGTCTTTACCCTTTCTTGTGGCAGAACCTTCCAGTTGGGTCAGATGCCTTTGGACAGGTAATTATGAAGACAAGAGAAGAGTGGTTATACTCTTCTGGTATGGTTCCAATGTGTTCCAGGGCAGGGGCGGACTGACCATTCGGGCACTCGGGCACTGCCCGAGGGCCCGGGGTCAGTAGGGGGACTCATGAGTTGCCCCTGGAACCTTTCATAGGCTTTTTTGGGTGTGATTTGAGTGTAGGCGAGGACACAGGGGCCCCATGATCCCCTATTGCCCGGGGGGCCCCATGAGTTCCAGGGTAACAATAGTGACATACAATAGGTGCTTGGTTGGAGATACCACAGTGCACAATAGAAGGAAAGGGGGTGGTGTAGGCATCTGACCCAACTGGAAGGAAGGTCTTTACCCTTTCTTCTGGCAGAAGCTTCCAGTTGGGTCAGATGCCTTTGGACAGGTAATTACGAAGACTCTTTGCATGGAGTTTGAAGGCAACTTGCAGGAATGTGTTTTCATGGGATTTTGAATTTAGAAAGAAAAAGGAAAGGGGGGTTAACAAAGGCTGTTACCAAAATGATTTAACCATTTCAAGTCCGGACACTTTGGAGCTCCAAACCTTTACTCCAAAAATTGAACAGAGAAAATAAACCTGCAGAAAAGATTTATCCTCATAGAGGACAAACCCATTCAAAAAAACAAAGAAATCCTCATAATGTAGTAAATTAACCACTTCCAGTCCGGACACTTTTACCCCCTTCCTGTCCAGGCCGATTTTCAGCTTTCAGTGCTATCACATTTTGAATGACAATTGCGCGGACATGCAACACTGTACCGTATGAATTTTTAGCATTTTTTTGAGACAGATAAAACTTTATTTTGGTGGTATTTATTCACCACTGGGATTTTTATTTTATTGCACTATATAAATGAAAAAGTCCAAACATTTTGAAAAAAAAGTGTTTTTCTTATAAAATTTTGCAAAAAAAAAATCTTTCTTCATAAATCTTGGCCAAAATGTATTCATCTATCTTTTTAGGGAAAAAAAACCAAAATTAGTTTATAAGCAAAAATTATAATTTTTCAAAAAATTTTTTTTGACATTTTTATATTTTTTACATTATTATTTATGAGTTTTTTTTTTTTAACATACTGTCACCCTAGCAGTACAGTGTCACCATAGTGACACTGTACTACTTGTGGGGGGGTGATGAAGATTTTTTTTTTTTACACTGATTGCTTTTATACCCATAAAGGCTGTAAAACCAATCATGTCTCTTTTTCTCTGGCTGCAGCCATTGAGAAATACTGTGTGAGCTGTGATTGGTCACAGCTTGTCACATGGTACAAGGCTGTTGTGAATAGCATTGTACCATGTGATTTCTGTGATCATTCACAGATTTCACTTGTAGTAAGCAATGATGTCAGAAGTGACATCTTGCTTACTACTATTCGTGTGATCACTGATTGGCCAATCAGTGATCACATGATCGGGAACTCACACAGAGGTCCCGTACAACGATCCAGACACAGTGAGCACCGAATCGCGGTGCCGTGCGCTTCCAGGGAGCGTGCACAGGCTAAAATGGTGGGCGCCATTTATGAACAGCAACCTGCTCCTGAACTGCTCCCATCCGGCCATTTATATACATGGGCTGGACGGGAAGTGGTTAAGAACAGCACTCCTGTCATTGCAAGCTGAACGTGACCTCATACCATGGTGGTGATGGCAGGACCACAACCAGTCAGGTTTCTGTGGTAGTGAGCTCTTGTAGAACACCAAGCCTCGGAAGTCTAAGCCCCAGCCTGCTTCTTCACCAGGGCCCTCGATGGTGGGGATCGACTACCAGCAAGTTGGATCCAAGTCATGGCCCCGGGTACGCCCAGCTGACGATACGGAGACCACTCTGGTATTCCAGCAACAGATGGCAGGAGACAGAAGATAATTCAGGAGACAAGCTGAGGTCAGGGCAGGCAGCAAACAAGCAAAGTATATAAAGAGACAAAAAGTGGGCGCACGGGCCTAGTGCATTACCTTTAAAGATGAGATTTATTGATAAAAAGTAAAATACTCACAAGAGAAGTAAAATCAAATGGAAAGCATGTCACAAGGGATGCAATGTGGTCCAAAACCCCTGAAGGTAGTCTGGTGGGGGACTGTAGACCTCTGCACAGCTGGTGGCTGATGCGTTTTGATGCTGTTCCTCAGAGTAGACAAGCACAAATGGAAGAGAAAGGCGGAGTCGGTACATGGGAAGTCAGACACTAAATACATGAAATACTAGGCAACGTTTTTTTTTTTTTTTTTTTTGCAGAATTAAACTGTATCTTGGCAAGCCCATGGAAACATTTTTTTTATCACTCAACTGTTGGACCTACTCTTGTCATCTATCTTAAAATAAAATCATTAAACAAATATATACAAACATTTTTATTGATTCATTTATCAACATATTAAACTGATCACTGTATTTATCTTCTTTATTCTATTTGTATGTCAAGAGATATTTTCTTATGTCATGAGATTGCAACGTTTTTTTTCCTCTGAGGAATAAAACTTGATCCTGGTGAGTCCATGGAAACTTTTTTTTATATCACCCAACTGTTAGACCTACTCTTAAAATAAAATCCTTTAAAAACTTTTTAATAAATGTTTATTGATTTATTTAGCAAAAAAAAGTTTTATTAGTAGCTGATTTAAGCCATAAGTATTATTTATTATTTATCTTCTTTATTCTATTTATCTTATGTCAAGAGATATTCGTCTTAGGTCGAGAGATTGCAACTTTTGGCAAGCCCATGGAAACTTTTTTTTTTTTAAACACTCAACTGTTGGGCCTACTCTTGCCATCCATCTTAAAATAAAATCATTAAACATAGATTTACTAAATTTTTTTTTATCCATTCTAAACATATTAATTAGACCAATTTAAGTCATAAATATTATTTAATATATTATTTTTTTATTCTAATAATGGGTCAAGTGATATTTACTAATGTCAAGAGATTGCAATGTTTTTTTTTTCCTCTGTATAATTAAACTTGATCCTGGTGAGCCCATGGAAACTTTTTTTTTTTTATCACCCAACTGTTGGCCCTACTCTTGCCATCATCTTAAAATAAAATCATTAAACAAAGATTTCCTAAACTTTTTATTGATCCATTCTAAACATATTAATTACACCAATTTAAGTCACAAATATTATTTATTATTTATTTTCTTTATTCTAATAATGTGTCAAGAGATATTTTCTAATGTCAAGAGATTGCAACGGTTTTTTTTTTTTCTGTGTAATTAAACTTGATCCTGGTGAGCCCATGGAAACTTTTTTTTTATTTTTAATCACCCAACTGTTGGACCTACTCTTGTCATCTGTCATTAAATAAAATCCTTAAAAAATGTTTTAATGCATTTTTATTGATTCATTTAGCAAAAAAAGTTTTATAAGTAGCTGATTTAAGCCATAAGTATTATTTATTATTTATCTTCTTTATTCTATTTATCTTATGTCAAGAGATATTCGTCTTAGGTCGAGAGATTTGCAACTTTTTTTTTGTGGAATTATACTGGATCCTGGCAAACCCATGGAAACCTTTTTTTTTTTTAAAACACTCAACTGTTGGGCCTACTCTTGCCATCTATCTTAAAATAAAATCATTAAACAAAGATTTACTAAACTTTTTATTAATCCATTCTAAACATATTAATTAGACAAATTTAAGTCACAAATATTATTTATTATTTATTTTCTTTATTCTAATAATGTGTCAAGAGATATTTTCTAATGTCAAGAGATTGCAACGTTTTTTGCTTTTTTTATCCTCTGTGGAATTAAACTTGATCCTGGTGAGTCCATGGAAACATTTTTTGTTTTTATTTTATCACCCAACTGTTGGGCCTACTCTTGCCACCTATCTTAAAATAAAATCATGAAACAAAGATTTACTAAACTTTTTATTGATCCATTCTAAACATATTAATTACACCAATTTAAGTCACAAGTATTATTTATTCTTTATTTTCTTTATTCTAATAATGTGTCAAGGATTATTTTTTAATGCCAGGAGATTGCAACATTTTTTTTTTTCTGTGGAATTAAACTTGATCCGGTGAGTCCATGGAAACATTTTTTGTTTTTATTTTACCACCCAACTGTTGGACCTACTCATCTGTCATAAAATAAAATCCTTATAAAACATTTTAATAAATTTTATTGATTCATTTAGTAAAAAAACAGTAGCTGATTTAAGCCCTAAATATTATTTTTTATTTATCTTCTTTATTCTATTTATCGTATGTCAAGAGATATTCGTCTTAGGTCGAGAGATTTGCAACGTTTTTTTTTTTTTGTGGAATTAAACTGGATCCTGGCAAACCCATGGAAACCTTTTTGTTTAAAAAACACTCTACCGTTGGGCCTATTCTTGTCATCTATCTTAAAATAAAATCATGAAACAAAGATTTACTAAACTTTTTATTGATCCATTCTAAACATATTAATTACACCAATTTAAGTGTCAGGAATGGACTTGCCAATAACGGTGGGACTCACCTGTCTTGTGGGCTGCAGTACCAGCGCTGGCCAGGGGGTGCTCTCAGCAATCAGAGACTCACCCCTGCAATCAGCCAAAACACCTGAAGCTGATTGCAGGGGTTGTATTTAAGGAATGGCCAGACTCACAGTCAAGGCCGTGGTGTGTGTTTTCCATGGGCCCCTGTATCTTGTATCCTGTATTCCTGTTCCTGTTTCTGCCTGACTTGTTGCCGACCCTGCCTGATCCTGACCTCTGCTGACTTCTCCTGTTTGATCCCTGGCTTGTGACCCTGACCATTCTCTGCCTGACCCCCTGCACCACGCTGACCGTGAGTTACTGAACCCAGCTTGTGACCCCGACCACTCTCCCGCCTGTTCCTGGTACTCCGTTTGCCCGTTTGCTACTGACCCGGCCTGCCTGACGACTCTTGCATTGTATGTATTGTTATCTGTAGGTGGGTTGGTTTGGTTTGTTTGCACTGTGTTTAGGTTTAGTTTTGCACTGCGTTTTGTATTGTTAGTCTTAATAAATTATATTGTTTATACCATATCTGAAGCCTGCGTTTCCCTGTGTCAGTCCACACACCTCTGGTCATACCTGGAGCCCTGACATTAAGTCACAAATATTATTTATTCTTTATTTTCTTTATTCTAATAATGTGTCAAGGATTATTTTTTAATGCCAAGAGATTGCAACATTTTTTTTTTCCTCTGTGGAATTAAACTTGATCCTGGTGAGTCCATGGAAACTTTTTTTTCTTAAATTTTACCACCCAACAGTTGGACCTACTCTTCTGTCATAAAATAAAATCCTTATAAAACGTTTTAATAAATTTTTATTGATTCATTTAGCAAAAAACTGTAGCTGATTTAAGCCCTAAATATTATTTATTATTTATCTTCTTTATTCTATTTATCGTATGTCAAGAGATATTCGTCTTAGGTCCAGACACTGAGTGAGCTAAGCCTAAAGTGTTTGCTTTCAGCAGTTATAATTTCTGACAATTTATTAACTTATCGGCATTCGCTTGTTTGCAGTACGACTGTGAAGCAGGCGAAGGAAAAGGCTAACAAATTATTAATGATAATATTTTAGATGATAAGTACGCTGAATAAAAGAAGAGGTCGGAAAAGGTAACCTCTGTATTTTCTCACCGCAGGTTTCTTTTAATGAGCCTGTCAAGCTCTGTAAAGAATTAAAAAGCACATTGGGAATTTATTTCAGCATGTAATGATGTCACTTTGCTTTTGAAGTATTGCACAGTGACAGCGTATTTAACATCTCTAAAAAAAAAAATACTAAATTAATTAAAGTACTTCTTGGGTAGTGTTCTGCTATTTTGAAAAGGAAAGTTGAGACATCTTCTCCGGGGCTAAGGTCTAGACCACACGGTCAATCTCAATTGCGTGCTACTGTTCACTTTAAAGTGGATGTCTGGTCAAAAACGACACTTGTCAGGGGTCAGGCTTGGAGACCGGTATCTGTGGCAGCAATGAGGCTCGCACCGACCAGCAGGATAGGAAAATAAGCGGGTCACCCTGGCAGATGACGTGGGCTCACCGAAGTTGGGGGGTCTAAGCACTAACCAGCATTCACCAGAGCTTCTGATGGCTCCTGCATTTTAGTACCAGGTCACGGTCCTCTGGATGGCCCCACCAGGAGGAGAGCAAGACGGTGTCCAGTAGCAGATAGCGCTGGGAGGGATTAAGCAGAAGTAAAGAAGCCAAAAGTTGGCATCAAGTGGTTGCAGGTTGGGATCACGCAGAAGTGTAGGCAAGGAACAAGCCAACGGTTGGTAACGAGTGGTTGCAGGTTGGGATCAAGCAAAAGATTAGGCAAGGAACAAGCCAAAGGTTGGCAATGAGTGGTTGCAAGTTGGGATCAAGCAGAAGTGTAGGCAAGGAACAAGCTGACACCAAGGTTGGGGCATTATTCCTCCCACTGGCACCAATGATGGGGCACTATTCCTACCACACTGACACCAATGATGGGGCACTATTCCTACCACACTGGCACCAATGATGGGGCACTATTCCTACCACACTGACACCAATGATGGGGCACTATTC